GGACATGCATGGTCTCTTTGCTGTAAACGGATCAGAACAGTTCTTCATACGTTTTGGGTATGTTGTTCGTCTAAATTGAACAAAAATGTACTCAAACAATAGGTGACGTCACATTATCCAAAGATTAGACCAAAGCAGAAATCCACTCAGAACTTTATTGTGAAAATGGAGTTAACCTGACCAGCATGAAATCATGTTTTTGAGTTAGTCTTTGTCCCACCTGACTGTTTTCACCATTTGGACCCAAGTAACACTCTTATTGTACACACAACAACACAACGGCTTCTGCATTTTTTTTTAACCCTTTGGACAAAATTAATCATGATTTATGACATGATATAGTTAAAAAAAGCATCAATTGCCAAATAGAAACTTAAAGGGTCAGCTTATCCAATTTACACGTTTCCGCACGTCAGGTGGAAATTCCACAGACATGCAGGGTTTTCGTGGACATGATTTCCTCTGTAAATGGGAAACAGTGAACAGTCAAGCTAGGATGAATCACGTTGGAAACTCATGCATGAAATACGGCTTCAGGTTTCTCTAAAGATCCGTAACAATAAGATTTTGCATTGCTAGAAACCCTTCTAATAACAGTGAGAAATTCTGATTCTTTTTAAATTTATAAACCAAAAACAGAAACGAACAAAGAACATTTAACAAACTGAAACTAAACTTTCTGGTTTAACGTTCCCAGTCCATTTGTGCAAGTAACCCCTAATTACCAAAGTAAATCTCTCAGGATGGATGTTCAGCGATTCAGGACAGAGATGAGTTTCGCCTGCATCTGTTTTCATTTGAGTTCACATAGAAATGTAAGCAGAAGCCTTTTTAACTTGCCCAAAGGAATGATTTTAAAGTGTTCACAGAGCTCTGTAGCTGTAGACAAAATTAAAGGAAATTTGCCATCGCTTATCAGGTTGTAGGTTCCATCATTTTCAAACATGAGCAAATTACATTGCCCAATAAACACTAAATGTTACTCAAACCACAAGGGGAATGACTGGGCAAGATTGTGAGAAATGGAAAGCTACTCCAAGTCATCAACTAGCAACATAAATAGCAATGGAAGACTAGCCACATTATATAAAACACAGAACAGGCCCTCGGCAAAAGCAGCAAACTAATTTTCTTTCTTCAAAATGTAATTCTGCATTTGTGTCTCTAAGGGTCAAATTATCCACCTCGCTTTTTTTTAAACTGGTACAGGAACCGAACTCGGGGCGTTTATCCTCTCTTACTTCCTCAAAAAAAAAAAAAAAAAAAAAATACAAATGTGATGAGGAAGGAGGGAGGACAGACCATTTGAAAGAGATGACAGAGAGAATGGGTCAAACATTCAGGTAGTCTGTCTTAACAGTAACCATTGAGCAGGCATTCCCAACAATGGGAATGAGCTGGTGGAGGCAGGAGATCTCTGAGTGCAAAGAGCATCGATAGCTATGTAGGTCATCATTTATCGTTGAATTAGAATGTGAGAAAAAAGGAAACAGATTTCAGAACGGGGCCTAATTGTAAAAATAAAGCAGAGGTGATATATATATTTATATACTGTATGCATGTATTTATGTATATTTTTTTCAGTCGAAGTGAAACTTGGCTCCAGTCGATATCTTCATATTCACTAATCGCCACCATATCCACTCTTTGATGTGATCCTACATTGACAGAAAGCCGTCCGCTTGTAGTGTTGATGTTTTTAAATGTTTCCAGCCTTGCAGTGGCAGATACCTTACCTCTCTCAAGTCATCACAGCCTGTCGTCATTCATTCCATCCCATCCAATCAAATGTTACTTGGTGAAGCCCACCACCAACCAGACTGTACTGTTAATATGGACTACCACCACAAATGCCATCCAGAATAGATGTATAAACAGGCTCCTCAACCCAAAATAGATTGTCTCATTAAAGTGAAGTCTGTCTCATTAAGTCCTTCAACCAATTAAATAACACAGACCATAGCCAGATCTTTCAGTCCAACCAACCAGGTGTTTTTTTGGGGGTATTTTCCTTCTCATTTTGTAAATGCAGCCACCACAGCCCACATCAGTTCGTTGGCGTTGGGCTTTGTACTCTCCTTCTCAGGCTCCAGCTCAATCAGAGTGTGGACTCTCTTCATGGCCACGTCGTACTGGTCGTCTTGCAGCGGGGCGAAGGCGTTCTCGAGAACGTCTGACGAGTGAGCCAGGAGGATGAGGGCCAGGACCCGCTTGTCCATGCGATGGGGATCGTTGACCCACTTCTCCAAAACGGAGTCCTGGACCTTCTTGACAAGGCGCTGTCGAGGATAAAATGAAGATGTGTTACACCTCGCTTCACAATGACAGGTCACACACAGTCAGGCTGGCTGGAGGGTCTAATTAGTAACTAAACGTCTGTTCACAAGGCTCTCACGGCCATGAGCCTGGCAAATACGTGATACAAGAGGGAGACAAAGGGAGACACAAACTAACAAGTAAGCAAACGAAATGACCAACATCATTTTAATTTATCGTGCGATTAATTGATTGCTCATCGCGACAGGCCCATTTGTAAAAAAATATTCATGGATCTAGTCATTTTATTCTTATTTCTGTTCATCCAAAGCTGAGCAACTATTCATGAGTCTGATAAACATAACATACCGAGAAGTAAATGAAAGTTACTTTAAACTCTAAAATATTATAAGCTTGGTATGCAGCATTATTAGGCTTTTTTTAAGGGCTTGATTTAGAGCAAGGCCACATTTGAACTGAGACAAAATCAAAAGCAAGTCATTTCTCTTTGTCCTCATTGCTTTGATAAAGTATCACATAGCCAAAACAAAACCTGCTTTAATCATCTCAGGAAAAATCAGTGCCCCTTTGGCATGCATCTGAAATTATTTTATTCCCCCCCTCCCCAGACAGAAATAACATTAATGCATTTTTAAAATAAAACAGAAATCAAAATTAGGAATAATCTGTTTGATCTATTGTTTCCTTTAAAAACACACCCGCAGTTGATACACTAATTAAACTTTACAATGATCTTATGACTCTTGAACTATGCAGGAAGAAGCCGAGGTATGACTGATGCTCATGTAAAAGACTATTATCAGAGTATAGACGGTTATTTTTAGAAAAATAACAGAACATTGCCATCATACCTGCTTAATTGTACTGTTGGTGAGTGGATGTGTAGTCATGTCAAACAGCAAGAAGTTCTGCTTCTCTGTGGTGAGGACGCCTTTCTCCACAAGGTTTTTTGCCAGACGCTCCCTGACATTTCTCAGCTGGTAGTGCAGCTTTAAGGGATTCCAGGTCTCTCCTAAAAGTCAAAGCCAGATCCACGTTTACAACTGCTTCACTGCCTAATTTATAATTGTATTAGACGTTGTTAATACAGACCGGGCAATTGGGGCTGCAACTAACAATTATTTTAATAATCGATTAATCCGTCGATTGTTTCGATTAATCGGCCAAATCATTAAAACGCTTAATTAAATGAATATGAGTAGATATAAATTAATTTAATTCCTGTATTATACAAGTTATTGATTTATTAACTTATGTGAAGTTGATTTATCTTATAGATTGACTAACAATTAAGTAATAAGCAGCCATTTTCTTAAAAAACAGTTTTCTCTTGGATCAAGAGGGTCTTTTCATAACATGAAGGATTTGTTTTATAATCTCCTGAATTAAAAACCAGAAGCACATCATACATATTTTAACATTTTGCCAGTTGTATTAATACTGACTGAAAAAAAAGTGTATTTCTCATACAAGGAACATAAAAATTTAATAGGTTGCTGAATGAGGAAAATAAATTAAAAGAAAATGTGATTTTTAGATGTAAAACCATTATTAATTTATTATAATTATAATTTATTTATATTTAACATTTATATTTTTTCTCAAATTTTTTTTTTACTTTTTGCTTCCTTGTTGTTGGTTTTGTCTGACTAAAACATTGTTCGACCCAGTAAACGGTTCTAAAGCAACAGCTGCTCACATAAAATGAGACCGTTATTTAAAAAAATTAAATGTAGCACATACTTTCTATCATAACTTCGGATCTACTTGGCCTAACAACACAATTTAAAAACTGATTTAAAGTTCAAAGTCTCTACTTTTCACTTTAGGGTCTCACAGAGGGCGGATCTTTACAGGTAGAGGGTTTTTTCTTCCCAAACTTTATTTAGGTCAGCCAGCATTGACAACGCTCTGCGGGTGACATAAACGGCTCCGCGACATGGCGAGGGATGCATAAATCATACGACACAACAAATCGATAATGAAATTCGTTGCCAACGCTTTTAATAATCGATTTTTATCATTTTGTTGTTGCAGCCCTAATTGTGATACTATAAAAATACAAATCAGCTCAAAATATTTGAATGAAAACACATTATTTGTTTGCTCAAGTGAGTGTAACGATAAGCATATTACTGTTGAGTTTGGTTAGCAAAGTCAGTACTGCTTATCTCACCACTCAGCAGCTCTATCCAGCTCTGGACAGTCTCTGGAGGTTGAGTTTCCTTAATATGCTTCAAGGCCTCATCCAGCAGCACATCCCCTGTTGGAGCATCAGACTTGCAGATAACCTTGCAAAACAAAAGATAATTGTTAGTTGCTGTATTATTTTCTCTAAGCTGGACTCGTATTCTTAGCAAACAGGAATTTCAAGTAGATGAAGTGGAGCATTACTTGGCATGAAAACAAACCAGTTCCTGGTGTTAAATTACGACACACAAACATTTTAGACCTCACGACACGTCTTATGATTACCAAGTTAAACATTCTCATCCATCTGTAGGTGGTTGTGGAATTTTCAGAGATGAAACTCAGATTGTAAAAGTTGTGAATAGATTGTCCCTGATGGCGAATGCTGGGGTTCCACAAGGCTGCTGTCTAAGCCCCATACTAAAGACTGTGTGGTGAATGTGTGGTCAATCACTCTTCAAACTACATTTTTCAGCCTCCCTCTAGAGAAGCACTAAGAATATACACTGCTCAAAAAATAAAGGGAACACTTAAACAACGCACGCTAAGTCCAAGTAAATCAAACTTTTGTGAAGCACATTCAACTCTGTACAGAACAAAGTACTCAATGCGAATATTTCATTGATTAAGATTGGGAGTTAGCGTGTGTTGTTTTTATTTTTTGAGCAGTGTATTAGTGACCTCACAGCTCAGAGACAGTATTTATCCACAAGCAGTCAGATTTTAGCTCCTAAATTAATGTTGTGGATGATTTAAATTGAGATTTTGTGCCTATGTATTTACACATTTTCTGATTATATTACAAATAACTGTTATTAGCATGCCCATAGGTGTCATATTCTTAATTTTACATTTGTTTGACTTTATTAAAAAACAGTTTTATACACCATATTGTGTATAATTAGAAGTCAAATGACTAGGGTTTTTTAATGCCCAGTGTCAATATTTCTAAAGCATTGCCATGTTTAATTTGTTTCTTTTAACCTATAAATAAAACACATTACAATTTATTAGAATTTGAAAAACTCTTATTACTTGTGATTAAGCTTGGAGGTCTAATGTAGATCAGTATTCAAAGTTAAGGTTGGAGTGCCAAGAATAAAGTTAAGGACTTTATCTGAAAAAGACACATTTCCTATCTCGCCAGTTAAAACCATGATTCTCTAAAACACGTCAAACTCAAGGCCAGTGGACCAAATTTGGCCCTCATTAACATTTCACCTGGCCCCAAAGGTAATACTTTAAATGTGAAAGTATTTCTGTTTTTGTTACTGTATTTAGTTCATTCTTGTCATGACAGCTGGCTAACTTTAAAGCCAAGAAAATTAAGTTTGAAATTTTCAATCGTTAATTTTGATGTGGAAAGATCAATTACATTTTGTTGCAAATTTTGTCTCTTCTTATTTTAAAGTCAAATAATTGGATTCTTAGTGTTTTTTAACTGGTTTGATGGATTGTGATAAAAATGTATCTCTGAGATAAAAAAGGGATAAGAAGTAAATGTTAATGAAAAGTCTTTCTAAATTTAATTCATTTTCTTTGTAAAAAATGTAACAAAACATAATAAGGAAAAGGTAATTTGTATTTCTATAAAAATAATTTGTTATAAAACATTTCTTCCATAAGTATTGATAGATTAGCCTTTGGTTTGGACCAGGTTTTGAATTTTGGACCCTTGTGTAAATGACCTGATGCATCTCAGTAATCCAGGTAAAAAAATCAAAAAGGAAAAAAAATTGTATAGGTCTTCTGGACGGGTTCTTCTCTAATGAAACATTTCGTCTCTCCTCCAAGAGACTTCTTCAGTCTGAGTTTCAGGCAAAATTCAGGCTTTTCTAAACATGATGTCCCAGTGGCTTTCAAACCCCAAAACACATTACGGCAAAGGCTGGTTCACCCCAAAGATCCGGTGCCCCGGCACAAACAGAGCAATGTTGTATATGGTGTGAAGTGCCAGGAGGACTGCGACCAGTTATACATCGGGGAAACAAAGCAGCCACTGTTCAAAAGAATGTCCCAACACAGACGAGCTACATCTAATGGCCAGAACTCTGCAGTTTTCAATCATTTACAGGCCAGCGGTCACTCTTTCAGAGATGAGGATGTTCTCATTCTTGATAGAGAGGAACGTTGGTTTGAGAGAGGAGTAAAAGAAGCCATTTTTGTGAAGAAAGACCGTCCATCATTAAACAGAGGTGGAGGCCTCCGTTTTCAGTTGTCCCCCTCCTACAGCGCGGCCACTGCCAGTGTCACTCCACCCCCTGGTAACAATAAGTGTTAATTAGGTGTCAACGATAGCCATGTGATGTGAGTATCAGTCACATGGAGGCAGKGCTTAAAAGCCTGAATTTTGCCTGAAACTCTCAGACTGAAGAAGTCTCTTGGCGGAGAGATGAAACGTTTCATTAGAGAAGAACCCGACCAGAAGACCTATATAATTTTTATTCTTCTTGTGTAAATGAGTTTGACACAACGGCTCTAAAATATAAGAATTTAGGTTTTACCGTCTTCTTCATTAAGTGTGACTATTAAGTTTGTGGCATACTTTATTCAATTAATTTTCTTTGGGGTTTGCTGGTGTTGAACAGAAAAAATGTACCCCTGCTGTGACAGGAATGGTGTCAAGTGTAACAACAATGTGCTGCCCACAGATGAGCCTGTATTCATATTTATGAGGCCAGTGATGCTGGTGATTGTAGCCCAAATAATTTTTTTTACTTCCTAACATCTCACCTTCCTTCCAAGCAGGCTTTTCCTTCTCACACCGCAGGCCTCCAGCTGTATCCTTCCTTTGAGGGCCAGCTCTACCAGCATACAGCCGCGAAGACCGGAAGAAATACAGTCATTCCAGAAAGACGTGTAGCCCTTGAGAAAAAAAAAACACACACACACTTGCTTACTTTAGCTGACGTGTAGAGCCAGTCACAGTCCAGCACTTTCAGGTTACTTCCTGGCAAGCTGTCAAGACTTCCCAGGTAACGCAAACAAAAGAAGCCGTGCTAAGGACGTCAGTGTTTAATTACTGCTTTCATCCGGGAATTTAACAGACGACTGAAAAGCAACACCAAATGTCGCCACATTACGGTTATTAAGCAGAGTAATGACACGTTGCACTTTCGCATAAATAGAAAGTATTTGACACCGATTAGCTAACATGCTAAAGGTGTTTCAAGCTGTAGGCACAAATGCAGAAAACCGGTTGAATAAAAGTTTCTGCGTGTTGACATTTTGGTTCGTGACGCAACGTAAACACTATGTTGGAAAAAACAAATGTTGGGTTCCACCGACAACAAGTTTTTTTTTACTCGACAAGCTTGACACAAACAGCCACACACCTCTCGATCCTTGAGGCCCAGAAGCAACACCTCTTCCATGAGCGTGAGCCGGGTCTCCTTCGAGTCCCCCTTGTCGTCTTCCTCCTCCTCTTCCCCGCGGCGCGCCTCGTCTTCCTCGCCGCCGGAGTCCTTGTCTTTCTCGGCGGCGGCGCTGCGAATGGCCTCGGTCCTCCGCTGGACAAGGCCCGAGGTTCTCTGCGTGAGAGAAGTCATAGCTGGAGTTGCGGGACGACGGAATCCGGAGACAAGCGCCTACTTCGATCAACGAGAGAAGCGCGCCGCATGTAACGAAAATATTAAAGATGAAAACTGGGGAAGAAAAGGCCGACTGCGAGGAAGCGGCCGCTAACGTTGAGCTCGGCTCGGTATTTCTGCAACGACTCTGCCTACTTCCTGATCCAACATGGTGGCGATGACGTGACGTAGCGTGTCTTGTTTGCTGCGTTAATTGTATGGCAAGCCATTTTCGCATAAAATCGGTTTCGTCGGACTATCTGTAATTACGTTCTAGATCAGGGGTCTGCAACCTTTATGATCAAAGGAGCAATTTCTGCTCCTTGTCTCACTAATAAAATGTGTTCAGAGCCGCAAAACAAGCTACAACTGTGATTATCAATGGGTGGTCCGTGGGCCTATTCAAGGTCTTTTCGGGAACCTTTACGGTCAGTGGAGGTGACACTACAAGACAAAAAAAATATTGTTATTATTAAATTATTTAATATTATACACATAAGGACAAATAAAAAGACCATATTCATGTAAACAAGAAAATACTGTTTGGTTTATACCAAATTTAATAAAAAGTAGTACAATTGAATTATTCAGGGATTTTTTTTCTAATTCTTATTATGTTGTCTTCAAATGATTTTAAGATAACTGATGGATTTGAGAAAAAGAAGTTGTCTTATAAACAACAGTAAACAGCAGACTAACACGTTTTACTTTTTTATTAGTCGTTTTGATCACATATTTGCATACAAATTGATGTCAGTTGTGGGTATAAAAACCCAAAAAACTTTATTCTGTTATGTTTGGTCACATTTTCAAAGAGCTACTGCAGAGGAACCAGAGAGCCACATGTGGCCCCAGAGTCGCAGGTTGCAGACCCCTGTTCTATATCTAAAAATGAGTTTTGACTAGGAATAACTACATTTTGACTGTCCGAAACGTTAATTTAAGATATCTGTATTAACATTCTGACTAGTCATAATTCCAATTCAAGATATCTTAAAAGGAATGTTGACTAGTCAAAATGTAATTTAAGATATCTAAAATGACAACACTGGATTCATCATTTGAAGGGTCAAACATCTGTAAATGCAATTCAAGAAATCTCAAACGTAATTATGACTAGTCAAAATGATGTTTTTAGATATCTGAAATAAAAAATTGCTCGCAAGCCCCCATGCTGCCACTAAGCTGTCCAAACAGTTGCCTGCAGTTTTGTGAAGCTGCAAGGAATAACAATAAACTATCTGTTTTTTAATTCATGTTGAGCACGAGCTACAGAGATATAAATTGTGTTAAAAACAGAATTTGAGCTGGACTGACTTCTGACACTGCAGACCACTTAATAGCACATGATTAAAGAAAGGCTATAGTGACTTAATACAACTATTTGTAAATCATAGCTATATGCAGACTAGAGAGCTCATGGTGTGCACATATTACTCATATTTCCTATTCATATTTTATAAAATAAGACTGTGTTGCTGGCTTATTGGATGATTCTCTCTAGGAGCACCAGAGAAAGTAACTATGTCCATATTTCATGCATTAACTAGTGCAGCTTGAAAACAGATCACGATTATCATTTTCTACATAATATTGAGCAATAGTTTTGGTTATTTGTCCATTTACAATATTTTGTCATTGTAGCTATTTGGCAATCAACAAAATAAAAACAGCTGGAACTGGTTCTCTTGCATTATCATTTGATGTTTGTTATTTATTTTTATTTATTTATTTATTACATTTTTTATATTTTTTTTGACATTTTGAAGGTTTCCCAGTGACATAGACATATAGGCCTATACATAATGTTTAATTGCTGTGTACAGAAGGGTCAAAACAAAATGGCTTGCCATATAAAGCCACTAGTCAAGACTAACTTAGAGATATCTCGAATTGTATTTTTGACTAGTCCAAATTCTTTGTGGCAAGCCATTTTAGCATAAAATCGGATTCACGACACTTTCATTCCAGATATCTGAAATTGAATTAAGACTAGTCATATTTGTTATTTAAGAATCTCAAATTACATTTTGATTAGTATATTATATATTACTGCTCGGCCTGAAACATGAGAAACTCTCCGGTCCAGTTAACCGGAGAGTCTCCAGATCTTTTCACACAAATAAAACCAGATTAATGCCTATTCCATACATGATTCTAGATGTTTTTTCAAAGCGATATCTGTCTAACGCTCATGTTACATTAAACATAACATGTACAATAAATAAGTAAATAAATAAGTAAATAAATAAATAAATAAGAAGAAAGAAAGAAAGAAAGAAAGAAAGAAAGAAAGAAAGAAAGAAAGAAAGAAAGAAAGAAAGAAAGAAAGAAAG